CACATTCTACAAAACTTTTTTCAATGATCTAACCATCAAACTTGTTTGTACACAATTTGAGATCGCTTAGGTAAAAAATTACAAAAAACAAACATTCAAAGATTAGGTAACAGAACAAAAGTTTTCGACGGTTATAAAAGAAAAATCACAATTTAACAGTTATTTTAGCTCTGATTTTGATGATTTTTTACAGCTACACTCCTCGACCCTATAAGAATGCATTGAACAAATTCGATCTTCAATTTAAAATATTTACACTATTTTATACTTGATGGGGAAGTATAACATTAACTCTAAGTGTTTGTTTAATCTACTGTTTTGATGCGATACGCACTCTACAAAACGTTTTTCAACGATCCAACCGTCAAACTTGTTAGTACACACTCCGAGATCGCATACGTAAAAAATCGCAAAAAACAAACATTCAGAGATTAGGTAATAGCACAAAAGTTTTTGATGGTTATAAACTAAAAATCACAATTTAACGGTTATTTTAGCTCCAATTTTGATGATTTTTTACAGCTACACTCCTCGACCCTATAAGAATGCATTGAACAAATTCGATCTTCAATTTAAAATATTTACACTATTTTATACTTGATGGGGAAGTATAACATTAACTCTAAGTGTTTGTTTAATCTACTATTGAATGAATTCGATCTTCAATTTAAAATATTTACACTAGTGGATAAATCTTATTTTCTACTTAATGGAAGTATAACATTAACTCTTAAGTGTTTGTTAAATCTATCAATTTGATAGGATATGCATTCTACGAAACTAGTTTCAACGATCCAACCGTCAAATATGTTCGTATATACTCCGAGATAGCATGTGTAAAAAATCACAACAAAAAAAAAAAAAAAAAAAAAACATTCAGAGATTAGGTAATGGGATCCAAAATTTTGACGGTTATAAACAATAAAATCACTATTTGTTTAATATATTATAATATTTCTTAAGAAAGTTTAATTAAAAGTAATGGTTTAAAAAAAATGAAAATAATATAATATTTTGACACAATTTGTGTTGAATATAACTGCCATAATTAGTATAAAAAATTTGAAAAAATTTGTGTTGGTTATAACAGCCCGAGTTAGTATAAAAAATTCGAAAATAATTGACGGATTTGACACATTACTTACTCATGTTGGATATATTTGCCAGAATTGGTTAAAATTATTTAAAAAAAATGTATCTAATGGAGTTAAGGGCCCACTTCATTATTCTTGGCAGATATAACCGACAATAATACTTTATTTTCTAACACTTTTTAAACATGTTGTTGGAAAACATTTTATCCGATAGTAATAGTATAAAACCACCACCACTAACCGACACAATAAGCCAATTTTGTTGTAGTGGCACTTTTTCTTCTGCTTTGCCAATAGGACCATGTTTTTTCCTAGATGTTTCATGATATTGATGTTGGATTTGGCATTAAATCGACATGCCTAAACTAAAACAAGGATTAGGATATCTTGGACGCAAGATGGATTTGTGTTTCCTAGTTGGTTTGAGATTTGGTTTTAGTATAGGATTTGGTTTCCTATATTCTAGGGACTTTGTGTAAACCTATGACATCTATTAGTATAAATAGATGGATGTGGGATAGAGTTTTGTGTGTGAAAGTTGTGAAAGGTATAAGTTTGTATACTTGAGAACACTTTGTATTTGTGAGTTCTCTTGTATTTGTTGGTAATCAATAAAGCTTCCGTTGTTAAAGAGGTACTCCTGTATTGGAGGAACTTTGAAATTGTTGTGTTTTTTTTTATTGCTTGATTGGTTTTTGGTTTAGTTTACAACAAGTGGTATCAAGAGCTTGGTTCTTAAATTGTGACTATCAAGCAATGACGAAGACTGGTGATTCCACCAGTTGTGATGATGTTGAAGAAAAGTTTGTCACTAGTGGAACCAAGACGACGGTTCAAAGTGCTAGGTTTGAAATTGAGAAATTTGATGGAACGAACAACTTTGCTATATTGCAGTGTGAGGTTCGAGATGTCCTAATACAACAAGGTTTGGTTGTTGTGTTAGGAGACATGCCGTTTTCGATGAAAAAAGAAGAATGGGAAACATTGAATGCTCATGCATGTTCTACAATTCAACTATGCTTGGGAAAGCAACAGAAGTATAGTGTGATGAACATAACTTTTACGAAAGAATTGTGGGCTGCATTGGAGGCAAAATATATAAAGAAGAGTGTAGAGAATTGACTTCATCTCAAGAGCAAGTTGTACAGGTTCCAGTACAAAGAGGGCACGAAGATGATTGGCCATCTAGAAGAGTTTAACAAGCTTCTAACTGAACTAGCAAATCTTGAAAAGATAATTAAAGATAAAGACAAGGTCTTGATCCTGATGAACTCATTGTCTGAATCCTATGAGCCTTTCGTGACTACTTGGATTTATGGCAGGGAGACAATTAAGTATGATGAAATCTTAAGTGCTCTTATGAATCATGAGGTGAGACACCTTGACAGGCAAGAAATGAATAACTCTGAAGCTTTGATGGTGAGAGGGAGATCGAATGAAAAAGAAAGGTTCGTACAAGAAAAATAGTAGGTTTCGTACTAAAGGAGTCTCAAAGAATAGGAAGTTCTTAGACAAAGATGAGTCTGCTTTTTATCATGAAAAAGGACACTGGAAGAATGACTGCCCTAAAATCAAAGAAAATACTAGAAAGAAGAAGGATGACTCAGAAGCAAATATGGTTGAAGTCGAGGATGAGAAATTTGTCTACGCCTTAATTGCATCGAGCACTGTGGATTATATGAAGGAGGGGTGCTCGACACAGGTTGTACTCATCACATGACTTCTTAAAGGCATTGGTTTTCAAGCTTCAAAGTTATGAATGGAACTGTGTATATGGGAGATGATAACCCATGTACAACTCAAGGAATTGGAAGCATCAAGATCAAGCATCACAATGGTGTGATACGAGAATTGTATGGTGCAAAGGTATGTCCTAAAATTGATGAAGAAAAGATGAAGATGGATGGTATTCCATGTGCTAATTTGGTTGGAGGATTAATGTATGATATGGTGTGTACTCGTCCTAATATAGCACTTGCAGCTGGAATTGTTAGTACATTCATGCATAATCCTGGAAGAGAGCATTGGAATGCTGCTAAGTGGATACTAAGGTATTTACAGGGAATGAGGGACAAAGGAATTTGTTTTGAAAGATGTGATGAAGAAATTGATAGGTTCTCAGTTGGATATGTGGACTCAGACTTTGCTGGAGACTTAGACAAGAGAAGATTGATGAATGGGTATGTGTTTACTATGGCAAAGGTCCTATATGCTGGAGATCAATATTACAACCAACCGTGGCACTATCAACCATAGAAGCAAAATACATGGCAATCGCTGAAGCTATCAAAGAAGCAATGTGGACTCTGGGGTTGTTAGCAGATTTGGGTGTAGAACAACACAAGTTGGATGTATATTGTGGCAGCCAAGGTGCCATTTATTTGGCCAGATATCAGGTACATCATGCTAGGACTAAGCACATTAATATACGATATCATTTTGTGAATGAAGTGGTAGTTGAAGGTGAAACTCGTCTAAAAAAGGTTACTACAGAAGATAATCCAGCTGATGTGTTGACAAAGGTGGTTAATGCAGCTAAGTTCGAGCACTGCTTAGATTTGGTGCAGTTGAAGCAAGTTTGATCTTGTAATATGGTGGAGCAACGGAAGTTGTTTGATGCCTCGTTATAGATTTCATGCCAAGGTGAAGATTGTTGGATTTGGCATTAAATCAACATGCCTAAACTAAAACAAGAATCAAACAAAGATTAGGATATCTTGGACGCAAGATATTTGGATTTGTGTTTCCTAGTTGGTTTGGGATTTGGTTTTAGTATAGGATTTGGTTTCCTATATTCTAGGGACTTTGTGTAAGCCTATGACATCTATTAGTATAAATAGATGGATGTGATAGAGTTTTGAGTGTGAAAGTTGTGAGAGGCATAAGTTTGTATACTTGAGAACACTTTGTGTTTGTGAGTTCTCTTGTATTCGTTGGTAATCAATAAAGCTTTTGTTGTTAGAGAAGTACTCCTCTATTGGAGGAACTCTAAAATCATTATGTTTTGTTTAATGCTTGATTGGTTTTTGGTTTAGTTTAGAACAATTGACTCATTCGAATAAGGAATGGTGTTCAATAAATTTGTAAATATATAACTCTATGGACATAAAGAGTATTGGATGTGGATGTAACTTCAATTTGTTTTAGATGTTAAAAATCTTCTTAATTGAAAGCTGCAATTACAAATTTGCATGGCAACGTTATACTACTAAAGTAGACGTTGATGATATCAGTTAGTCAGGATACTGTGTCCGCTTCTTGCACTAAAATTGCACTCAAATTTTAATCTCTTCTTTGAAAATTAGGACGACTGCACTGTCATTTATGGTATTCTGAGCTACTGATATGACTGAATGTGTACATTTTTTTGCACTACATTTTATAAAAACTAAGTAAGTTGCTCCCGTAAATTAGTGTCAACTATAACTTGTGAATAAAAAAAGAGTGGCAGGCAAACTTTCTTCTTCAAACTCAAAAGCTTAAGTTAGCTAACTTTCTTCTTCAAACACAAAGCTTGAGTTAAATAACATGTAAATGAAGCAACGAATTGAACCAATTGGGTTTTTTTTAGCGTCTTCAAAGGAGATATCAAAATCCTAGGTAGAATGTCACTGTGCATATTTGACATCAAAAGTCTCTCCAACCGAAGTGTTATTTGTTTATTGGATTTGGAAGCTTAGTGATTTGATGTCAAATTTATTTTTAATTCATTTTAATAGTGGATCCCTTATTCCAGTAACATTTCAACCAATAAAAATTTTATTTCAACATTTTTTTAATAATTACAATCATTTAAAGTTTTATTTAAATAATAAAATAACATTTGACAAGTCGGAGAATTACCAAATTTGACATAAGGTTTCAAATTGTCACATCAGCTATCAATTGTAATTTGATTCTTATAATTTGACATTTCCTTTGATGGAGATTGGTCTTATTCCATAAAAATGCTCAGGGAGGAGAAACGACGCAAGCTGCATGAGGCCGTCCTCAACATGCTCCATCCTCCTCCATCACCTCCAGTACTCTCTCTTTCTCTCTCTCTCTCTCTCTCTGATTTTACAGTTTTTCTGCAACTTTTTATACATGGATTATTTTTACAGCCAAAAGATGAGCCTGGAAACGTACCGTTGAGCATTTTAGGCGAGGACTTTGAAGCAGACGGCTTAGGGGAAAGTGGGTCTTCAGCAACGAGCAGCGAAGACGACGGCAATGACGAAAGTGAGGCTCAGAGACTTACAAGGGCTCAGAGGAAGAGACTCCGCAAAAAGAAGCTCAAGGAAGATGCTTCTCGCCGTAGGGAAATTATTGGGCCTCTATTACCTTCAGCAACCGATCAATGTGACAATGAAGCACAAGGTGTTCGACGTAACGCCTCTGAGAAACCTGGCGCTGCTGTCACCGAGGAACCGGGTTAGAAAGTTGACAGATTTGTTTTGATAATTTATGTAACAAATTGAAGGGCATCAATACCCATTTTGTTTTCAGTTTTCAAATTTTTGAAACCGAAAAGGAAATGGTTATCAAACGGCTCCAAAAATTAACGTGAGGCTGCATTTGTTCAGGAGATGAGCCACCTGCTTGCAGTAATCAGAACAAAGTAAAGCAAAGGAGGAAGGCAAAGAAGCAGGCTAGAGAAAGAGAGCAAGTTTGAAAGGAAGGGCAAATATTAAACTATTCGATGTTGCTTACATGAATGATTTGTATTGGTTTGTACACTTAAGTGTTGAATCGCATACAAGAATTATGTTATTGACCTACATTACTGTCATGGAATTCTCTCTTTCCCATCACAGTTTTCGTTCTCCTGCATTGTATTAAAATCAAACTGAAACTGAAAACTGTGGCTAGCTTTAGAGAATGGCATTCTCTTTAACTGAATTGTTGGAAAATGAAACTGAAAATCCCATGTCAGATAACAGTAGAAACTTGGCCGGGCGTGGTACCACTGTTATCTGAAGTGGGATTTTCAGCACACTGGATGTGGCCTACGTTCCATACTTTTTGTTACCCTTTGGCAAAAACGACATACCTGGGATTCAAGAAGGTGGGTTTTGCTCCAAATATGGGATCGGTATGAAGAAATTTGAGAATAGGCGCGAACAACTGATTGCCTCCAAAAACGCCGTAGACAACCTGACGTTGTGCACCAGACAGCGACGGCACTGTAACTCGGTTGAACACTATTGTTGAAGCGCTAGTGGACTACCTAATTAACATCTTAACCATCGGCTTAGCAACTTCATTGTTTGGTTTGCCTTTGGGTTTGACATTGTTCTACCCAATCTTCCACCGCAATTATGGGTTCGAATCGATTTGGTACGCAAAACTTATTTTGGATGTTGGATGAAGAAATAAATGCGACTTTCAAATTATAATAAAGAAAACTTATTACTCATAATCCTACTATTTTGAGGGGATTTAAAGTTCCCATTAATAAAAGGAGTAACTTACGAATGTATCTTCTACCTTCAATTTATTAGTCTCGTTTAATGTCTAAGATTGGATTGAATAAATAATCCACTATATTCAAGATATGTTGAAAGAAGAAATAAAAAAGTTATGTCCAACTTGAAGATGGATGATAAATTACTTGTCAAGAATACTATCCGTCCCAATCTCTATAAGATGGTAGGATTAGAAGGGAGAAGTTTCATTTATGTCTAATCTCCTCAAAATCCACCTCTACCCTTAATACTCATTGAACTTGTATTATTATTATTATTATAATTATTAACAAATGATGTTGGCTACACTACGGGGAGAGAATAGGCTTGGCCTCACAATGAGCTAGCAATAATGTGATTCAAATTTATCTTCGGTGATAGTTGAATCTAAGACCTCTCACTTACAAGTAAAGAGGAATACCACTAGATCGTAGTACTAAGTGACAATGCATTCTAATCCTAGATATCGAACAAGAACATTGATTAGGAGTTGTACCGTTGCCACTTGCCAGTTTTGTGCAATGTCGTTTGATGTCCTACATTCATCACATCTAAGTTTTTTCATTTTCTTTTGTTTATTTTTTCTTGTTATAGCAAAGGGAAGAGAGCGGGGTGTTTCAAACTTAAAACATGTACCAATGAATTAAGAGCTAGTTCGCTCTTTGGCACAAGTCTTGGTATTGCTAAATTTCGGCTAGAATGGTAAAGAGGCTGTAAGTTGTGGGAGCTTGCAAGTTTGGTGAACCAAATTTATTGCATAGTGATATGTGAATTTACAAGAAATACATCCAAAGAAATCAGAGGCGAGAGGGAAGGGAGAGATGCACTCATAACTTATATATACATCTCCGATATATATATGTATGTATGTAAATAGAGTAAGAAGTAGGAGGGGGAGAAATAATGTAGAAGAAAATCTCAACAGAAAATAGAGATTAAAGTGTTTCCTACGTAACGTGAAAGTGCCTCCTCCATATAAGCTCCTGCCATCTGCATGCCATCAAAACATGAAGAAAAAAAAACATCATAAACTTCAATAAAGTCATTTATTTTGAATCCACCAAACTCTATCTTGAAATGCCCCAACATAAAGTCATTAATTATGCAAATCTGTCAATATTTCTGATTAAGAAGCAAGTCTCTCGCTCCTTAGTACGTAGTCTAGTGGTTTCCTCTTAGCTAAATATTGAAGTTAAACCACATCATTATGGCCAGGAATTGTAAGGCTTAGCCCACTCCCTGAGTGTAGATGTTATCGTTTTGAATGAATTGATACAATGCCAAAATAAAAAGGGGTAGGTAAGATAGCTATGTGACACAAAATCCCTAATAAAACAATCATGAGAAATTAACAAAAATAAATGTGTTTCTTTCGTGTTTGATATAACTTACAAGTCTTAAATTTCCCATTAAAAAAAACAATTACATTCATCCTTATTCCTGACAACAATTAAGATTTCATTAGGGTTTTTCCCAATTTTTCATCATCATCAACAGCTGCCCTACATACATTTGACATGGGCAACTTAACTTCCAAACTCAGAACAAACATCCAATATTTTAGTTACCTTCGTAGTTGCCATGTATAGAATTTAGTCCAAGTCAACTGCTTTAATCTCATCATACTCCGATCAACCATAATTTAGCTAACTAATCAGGGGACTTGTTATTAGTATTCCAAAAATCTCATTTTACATTTCAAACTTTTTATATTTGGAAAGAAAAATACGCTTATAAGGAGTATAAAATAAGATTTTTGGAATGTCATTAACCGTTCTTTTAATTAATTAATTCAGCTTTACAAAAGCCAAACCCTTAAAAGCAAGAGAGATTTTTCAGTGTGCCCATTACACAGGATGGTACATCACGTGTCGTTATATAAATAGTGAGATATGTGTATTAAAAAGTTAATAACTTACAAAATAAAATTTCTCACCACTTATATAGATGTACATTTCCGTCCTTCAAATTTTTCCAAAAGCAGGACAAGCAAAAGCCAAAAGCAAAAAAGCAATCAATCAAAAGCTATATGCTAATGCGCACCTTTTCAGAACTCGGCCGGGTAATCAAACGGCACCGGAGTGGCCGCACTATCCCCTGTGCTCGGGTGCACGTACCCATATTTACGGAGCACCTGGTTATCCGCGAAATTCAGCGCCTTCCGCATCCCGTCCCAGCACGACTGCCCGGAATACATTTCATTGTGGGCCCCGCTGCAAGGCTGGCATCCGGTAAAGTGCGTGACAAACGGCCGCCTCCAGCTTCCCTTACCATACCCGGCCTCACGCAAGTACTCCTCCCTAAACGCACCGTACTGCTCGCTCACCTTTTCCGCGTGCCGCCTCCTTAAACGCACCGCACTGTCCTCCTCCCCTCTCTCTATCTCCGCGTACCTGGCCTCGATCTTATCTAGCGTCCCCACAATCTCCGCCCAGTACCCTTCGAAATAGTACTCGCTCTCCAGATAAATCTTGTCCGCCCATTTATCCTTCTCCTTGTATATCAAGTAAGCGAGGCCCGTCTGATCGTCCGACTCCGGGAACGCCTTGTCCTTGAACGTTGACCGGAGGGTCTCCCCCCATTTCTCGTAGTCCGGAGTCTGCGGGCCCATGCTGGCCCACACCTCGAGAAAGTCCATGGCCCACTGGGAGTTCCGGATTAGGAACACACCGGCGTTGAGCCCGGTCCAGCTGTGCGTCTCCATGACGAGGTGGGTCCACCCGTGGACGACGAAGTTGTGGTTCTTGTACCGGTCCAGCGGGAGCTTGAACTCCATGTCGGTGAACAACGCGTCCGAGTCGACCCACCAGATCCACTCGGCCTCCGGGTGGGCCACCATGGCGGCCCGGATTACGGGGAGCTTGGCCCAGTATCTCCCCATCCGCGGGTGCAGCAACGCGTTGTTGTAGAAGATTTCGTGTTCGTGGATTCTACAGTAATCCACCTTGTTCTTGAAGAATCTCAATAGCAGGTCATCGCCGATAGGATTTCGACACGCGGACGGCTGGGATCCCGTCACCATCAGAATCCTTCCCTCGGCTCCCGCCGCCAACGACGGGTGGTGCAGCAGCCACTGCCGCCGCTTCTCGTCCCAGTCCTGAACCGGCTGCCCGAGCGTGTACCGGACCTCCCGGTCGTCGTAGAAGGTCTGGTTCGTCGGGTCCAGGCGCAGGTTATCGTCGTCGGCGCATTCATCAGGTTCGGCGGCGGTCGGCGGCCGAGTTACCGTCCGACTGAAATTGGGGATGGAAGAAGGGCTTACGAAGGTCCGGAGAGTGAGGAGGAGGAGAAGAGCGAGAAATGCGCCGCCGAAGAAGAGCAGGCTGTCGGCGACCCAGGAAGAAGGCCTGGTTCTGGTATAGGGTTTCGACATTGGAGGAAGCTCAGAGGAGAGTATTGGAAATGGCAAATGCGACAGGGTTGGGTTCTTAACGGTGTCGTTTTGCGGCCACTGAATAAGGGTTTCGTACAGCTTCTATTGTGGACTTGTTAGCAGAAGGGTTTAAGCGGGGGAGTGTAGAGTGCATAATCGGTTTAGTCGAGCCAAAGATGCTAAAGTGCGCCATGATCTACGGCAGTCGTTGGGGTCCCGTTGTCTGGCTTACGCCTTCATCAAGCTGACACGTGGATGCATGTCTTTACGAACCGACACTTTGGGGGTGGAAATTAGAATTTTGTGCTTTTACTTTTATAACCCAGACCATATACAATTTTTACAGTGTGGGCATGATTCACAAGAGTGGAACGGCTGAGGGTATTACGGTCATTTTTGTGAGGGAAGAAAGGACATGGACCCACTTCGTGTCATAATGAACATGGGGATGTTTCGAAACTTGTATTGGGAAGGAATTGATTTGGTAATTAGAGTGGGCATAATCTCGAATTGATTTAGGTATGATGTTGATTGGTAATAACCCATTTATATTTCGGTGGCAACATTCAAACAAGTGATGATCCATCAGATTTCAGCTTATAAATTTGCAACCCACTAATGCAAATCATTGTCGCATGATCTCAAGATCATAGCAAAGAGATTTTAGTTCAAGTAACCAAGCAGCGTGTATCCTTGCATTTGCGGTTAAGGATTTGATTTTCGCCACTTCACATATCACTTGTATAAAAGAATGATAGTGTTATTCACACATCTATTTGTACTTCTTACACATATTTCTTAATTTTCGACTATTAGGTTAAATGAATTAAAGAAGATCAATGACTGAAGTTAATAAGAATGTGTGACAAATAACAATAAGTATATGAATAACATTATTCTAAAAGAAATCAAGTTCATAATTTATTTCTTTATTTTGTTTTAAAATAAGAA